AGTGAGAAATATTCATTAATAATTAAAAATTCAAAATAACAAAAAGTAAAAATACTTATAATCCAATTTTAATAATTCTAATATAATGATTTGTTTAGTACAATATGATATAAAGCTCAAGAATTCAATAATAACAATTTGTTCAGAACAATACGATATAAAGTCCAAAGTCAATAATAGTGATTTGCTCAACGCAATACAATATAAAATCATCAGTGATTTGATAGATTCAATATGATATAAGATCACTTATATATAAGATTTGAAATGTATAAAGAAAATATGAGAGGTGAGAAGTATTTGGAGGAAGATTTTTGTTAAGAGAGATTTTTATTTTCTGTTACAATATGTTGAGTTAAGGCTCAAACAACATTTCTATTTATACAATTTTCGAAATTACAAAAAGTAAAATAAATAATTATAAAAATATATAAAAGTAAAATAACTAGTTATAAAAGTGAAAAGTGAAATTTCAAAAAAGTGAAAAGTGAAATAACTAAAAGTGAAAAAATATATATAAAAGTAAAAAATAAAAAGTAAAAAATTGAAAAAGTGAAATAATAAAAGTGAAAAAATGAAAAGTGAAATAATAAAAGTGAAATAATATATGTAAAAGTGAAAATAAAAAGTAAAATAATTAAAAAGTGAAAAATAAAAATCAAAAAAGTGAAATAATATATATAAAAGTGAAAAATAAAAAATAAAATTTCTAAAAGTGAAAAATAAAAAGTGAAATAATGAAAAGTGAAATAATACTAGGATATTTTATTGTTATATGAATATTTTTGGAATTTTCATGTTTTTCAATTATTTTTTTTGAATTTGCAATTTTTATGTTACTATTGTAACACTATAGAATCATGTCAAAGAGCAAAAAATTCCACTCAATAATTTACTAAAAGCATATAATTCAGATCTAAATTCACTTATGGCTTGGAACCATTCTCTTAAATTTCTGGATAAAACATATCAGTCAAAGCATAAGTATCTTTGATAAAAAGTGTACTTTGTGCATTGGATTCTTAATAATTGATTCCATGTAACTCATATTGCATAGCAAAGTATCATTAAAAATCATAAGCCTGGATTGTGGGCAAACTTTATTATTTTCATTGACTACATGTTACATAATACAAGATTTTATTTGTGAATTTACAGAAAAAAATTTTATCAATCATTTTTCCTATTCTAAAAACGTCCAAACCAGAATGGACAGCTTCTATAACAGTCACGTGTTTTGCTCACAAGCTGTTTAAACTTAGGTGTACTAAGAGTATCGCGTTTGAACATTGCTTTTGTTGATGGTGGGCTTGGATTACAGATCTTAGCGTAGAATGTATCAAAGGATTTGCGAAAAATCTCTCGTATAACTAGAAGCACTTCTATTTCATCAACAAAAGATAACAACTCTTTCACTGAAGCCGGAACTGTCACTTGACCGATATGGATCATGATATATGTTCCTTGAATAAGATCCATCATATAGAAGTCTATTGTATGATCTATAAAAAGCAAATACTCCCAAAAGTTATTCATATGAATCGTGAGAAAAAAAGCAACCATCATAATTTCTTACCAACGCATTGAAAACCTAGAATATTTATATCAGCACCCAAGTCTATGGCTGAATCAAGGCAGTCCTTCATAAAAATACCAAGACGAATTAGATCATTGCAATTCTTATAAACATTATTTTTTTCGGAAGGTGGACTGACTTCGCCCACAAATATGACACCACTCGTCTGTAGTTGATGGATAATAGATACTACAAAGTCCGGTTGTTTGCTTCTCCCTTGTGGTTTCCTTGCCTTGCTTTCGTCAAGACCTGTGTTAGGCCATTCAACAATATATTTGTCCGGATCATGTACTATCCCCTTCATGATGCGGTCTAGATAATTTGTGATTAATGTTGTTTCGCTTGGCTCATTTTTAATCTTTGTAATTGGCAACGTTTTTAGACATTCCAAGATCACGGAACCCAAGTTCTCATCCAAAGTTTGGCTGTTTGCAAGTTCTGATAACAACAATTTTGTGGCATCTCCACGTGACTCTTTTATTGCTTTTTTGATCACCTTCCTAAGCACGTTTTCACATTCTGAATCAAATCCTATTTGCTGAGCCGGGTTGACTTGTCGGTAGACTTCGTCTAGCAACGTAGAACCAAATATATCGATCATTGTTTTTGAATGAGAGTTTGGTGTAAGCATAAAAATCGATGACAACGACAATATTTCATGAGCATTTGACTCAACAAATAAACCTCCGGCCTTTGCGATCTTTATTGATTTATTTTGATATCGCCGGAATAACTGAGACACATTAGTCTCTCCTATCTTGTAATCATCTGCTGGATTCCCATCCCGAAAGCATAGATCAACATCATCAATTATCACGATTCCATCATCTTCCTCAAAGAAGATATTGTTTTCTAATACTGAACGTTTTGATGGCTGTGGTGACGGTGTCGAGTACCCCGACGGTATTTGGAATTCATCCTCGTTGACTGACTGCTCGTTTGATTTTATCTAAATAATGAGACGGAAAAATAAACATGTCAATAAGTTATTCATTGCTTAAGATATTAATAAGCTATAAAGAGTCACTCGGCCTCACCCTTTTGGTTGAACGGATTGCTGATGTTTTTTCTTCTTCAATGCTCGTCTGTTCATAATCGGAACCTGCCTGAAAGAAATTGTCAATCAAATTCTACATAAATATAAGGTCAGTTAATAAAAAATAATATTGGAAGTAACACGAGCTTACATTATCATCTCCTTCAGATGAATCAGAGGTTAGTTCACGATAGTCTGGAATTTTCCTTCCATTTTTAGTTTGACGTTCTTTTTTTGTGATTTGCTCGATCTTTTCTTCAAAATCGTCCTAAAGTATTGAAATACAAAATAATTGGTTCTGCTGATTCTCAACTTATGGCTAAAAAATGCGAGTATATACCTCTTCGTGGTTTCTTTTCGATCTATTAACGGTGAAAGGTCCATTATTGACCCCGATTACCGAACTATTTGTAATTTGGTGGAAGTGAACTGAAGGTCCACTGACAGATTTACGCTCCTCCTCCAATTTTCGTGCTACATAATAGTCAGGATAGGGTTTCTAACATAGAAAATTTGAGGAATTAATTTGGTTTTCATCCCATCAGGTCGGCGTAAAGACTTGAACACAGGCGAGCGAGAAGAGTCCCTGTGCCCCAATAGGACCAATGCCAAGTCGGCAAAAAGACTTGAACACAGGTGAGCGAGAAGAGTCCCCTGTGCCCTAGCACTGGTTTTGTGGCTCAACGAAAGTTTTGAAAGGCAAAAAGCGAAAAGAATTCCGGCCACCCCACTTTATTTTCTATTCACTTTTCAACAAAAAATTCTTTACTTGCCTTCTTGTACGCATCAAGAAGTTTGTGCGCCATTTCTTTTCTATTTCCTTCAGGCTCTAAGTCAACAAGGTTTTGAAGTGACTTAAGATATGAATCTATTTTCTTTCGAAATGTTTCCTCTTCGCATTCGTTTAAAAATCCAATAATGGTCCATTCAGCAGATTTTCGATTAAAATACTCGTGTATGTGTTGTAACATGAGATTTTTCGTGTTATAAATCGATAGTTGGTCAAGTTCAGTTAAGTATGTGTATATTGCCAGCTCAGATTATGTATATTGTTACTGTTTTTATTCAAGTTATCTACGTGTTATTCACGTATTTAATATAACCAAAAGTGTATGTGATTTAGTTTTTATGGTGGGAGAGACTGAAAATTATTATGTCAATAATTTAAACTATCTCATTAAATAATCGATAGGGGAGCGCCATGCATCACATTTATCACGTGATTGGGGGTGGGAGCAAAAGTTACGTTTATGATGGATCTGCAGGTCCCTTGATTTATGTTACGTTCTTGATGCCTCTTCGCAGTAAAGCAATAAAGTCACGTTTTTTATAATACCCATAATTTTTTGTCCGGTCAACAGAATTCCTATGGGTAAACCCTATGAAACTGCCATTTGTCAAATAATTATAATCATGTGTAAATAAACAATACGATATTAATACATTTCTTAACTCTGAGTCAAATATATAAATCGATTTTACTATATTATATAAATTTTAATTATTTATGATTCCAAAACCCGTGATTTCGATTTTGTGTCCGGATTACATGTAATTCCATGCCAATTGTTGTTGAATAATTAAACCTAACCAAAACAAATCGGTGCAAGATAATAAAACTTACGTAATTAAGAAATCCTGTAATAAGTTGGTTAGTTATAAGCGTAAATGAAACAAGAAACTTCCATACAAGCCTGTTTAATAAAAAACTAACTCCAGTTGTAGTATTTAGGTTTAGGAATAATTTAAGCTGTTTTTATTTGTTTTAATATGAGAAGATAGAATAATTGTAATTATTTATAGTGATAGAAATTAACTGAAAGTTCATATTATAGGTAACAAAATGTGAATTCCTCAAAAGTTATTTTGGATCTAATCCTGATACCATTCATAAATAATTCTCATATGTCAATGATATCCTTTTATGACTACATTTTTTTAAATCTTACTGATTTATGTTATAAATCAAAGAATTGATTTTATATAATATAATAATAACTACAGTTAAATCACTTTATAGTTACCATCCTTGAAAAAGCAAAATTTGATAATTATAGAGTAAATATAACTATAGAGAGATTTTTTTACTATATAAATAGAAAAGTAAAATAAGATCACTATAGAGGAGTATAACTATAAATAGATGTAATTATAAAGAGATTTAACTATATATTTTTTAAAATTTTGTTAATTTATATCATAAATCAAAAAATTTATTTTATATATATAATATATTAATTAAAATTATACTTTTCTTAAGCTCATCAATATTACTAATAAGACAAAAAAAATTTATTCAACATTATTTAACAGATTTATAGAAGTTTTAAAGGAAAAGTTTAATATAATTATTTTGTTACAATCAAATCTCTCTATAGTTATCACCCTTGGGAAAGCAAAATTTGGTGACTATAGAAAGAATATAATTATAAAGAGATTTTTTTACTATATTTATATGTAAATAAGAAAGCAAAATAGGATAAATATAGAGAAGTGTGACTATAAATGAGTGTAACTATAGAGAAGTTTGACTGTATTTATATTACATATAAAGAAATCAGAAATTCTGAATATATTGTTACAAGTTTATTTACTAATTATTAGATTAGCTTACAAACTTGAAACTGAATTGGAAAAGAGATTAAACAATAAACAAAATATTATTATTATATTATAAAATTATTAATTTTATAATTAATAATATTTTATAAATTTATGAAAATTATATAAAAACATGAATTATATTATAGTCCAGTGCAAAAATATTGATACATGAAAAATGAAAGTTAATAATTACTTCTAATAAAAGTTATACAATATATAATTGATATTTATAATTTTTTATATTAAGTAAAGTATATTTTAATATAACTTTTTATATTATTTTTTTAGTATTTTTTTATACTTTTATTTAAGAATAAATAAGACAAAACTTTTTATTTTTGAACAATAAAATTTGCAATTTTTAAAAATTAAAAATAATTTTTAGTTATTATTATTATAAATTATATCTTTAAAAATTTATACTCAACAAGTGCATTAATATATATATAATAAAATATATTTCAAATTTTAGCAAAATTGAATCATTATTGTTAAAAAATTAAGCTTTAAAAATTAAACTTTTAATTTTTTTCATTATATAAATTTATAAAAAATGATTATAAGTTACTATATAAAAAAATTAAAATAATCAAATTGAAAAAGTTATTGATTAATAAAATTTTTTATTTTTATTTATATATAATA